TTGCGAACATCATTTCTCTTATCAATTATCCAGTTGACACAAGTATCTGACGCATTGGAACATTACAGTGATGATTTCTGTAAATGTGGCTCTTTTCACCTCAGATCCCTTCACACCTCTGAAGCTAAGTGGGGTAGGGACTGATTAGTACTGTGATGGGTGACCTCTGGGAAGCCACTGTGGGGCGGCTATAAAGTGTCATACTATCATTGTTGTGTCCTTAGGCAGCACTTCACCCACATAGACTAGAATGATTCTGGTGTGTGCGAGTGCGTGTGCATGTGTGTGTGTGTGTGTGTGTGTGTGCACTTGTTTTCAACTCCTGGTGGGTTCCATAACCTGAGATTCCACTCACGTCATGGGGACTGGTTTTACGTGGTGGGGCCCGAACACCGGACCCCACTGGTCCAAGCTTAATAATCAATGGGTAATGCTTTTCTAACGGTCCTTATGCAGTCTCTGTAAAAATATGGAAAGGACCCCTGGAGGTTTACTTTCCTGAAAAAAGTGTGTTATGTGTCGGAACCCTGGTGGTGGGTTGCGGGATATCAAGGAGGGGCACACTGGGGCAATTTCAGTCCAGCAGGCTGGAGCCAATCATGGAGCAGCACAACAGAGGAAATCAGGTGTCAGGCTAGAAAAAGGTGCAAGTGTGTGGTTCATTAGGCTGCAAGAAATCATGGAGGAGCACACTGAAGCGCACGCTTACAAACCACTGGTAAGTGCTGACTACAAGTCATGACTTCAAATTGTTATATAGAATGATTACAAATTATTTGTTGTTTGTGCAGCTTAGTCAAGAGTCCCTAATTGATGAAGTCGACTCAGATTCTGACGATTTAACTGTCAAGAAGAAACCTGTAAAAAAGTATGGAAAAAGAAAAATCAAAAACACTTTTCTTCAAGACTCGGAAAGTGACGAACCAAAGGCAAATAAGATTGTTATCATGCAGCTGCAAAAGAAGAAAAATGGGGGGCGAGTATACAGCAAGAGACACTTCTGCCTCTACTGTTCAATGTCCTGCCACAAAATGTCCCGTCATTTGACTAGAAAACATGGAAATGAAAGTGACGTAGCCAGAGCATTGGCTCTACCTGTGAAATCTAAAGCACGTAAACTTCAGTTTGATTTGATCAGGAATAGTGGAAACCGTGAGCACAATTTTGAGGTTTTAAAGGCCGGCATTGGAACTTTAGTCCCAGCTAAACAGCCAAATTCCCCAGTTAAATCCAGTGAGTTTTTGCACTGTATAGACTGTGGGGCATTGCTTAAGCGAAAGTCGCTGTGGAGGCATGTGGCCAGGTGCCGGCTTTCACAGAAAGATGCCCAGGCTAAACCAGGTAGAAGTAGGGTCCAGTCCCTCTGCTCCCTAGCCCAGCCTGTACCGGAGGGCATCAGCAAAAAGCTGTGGTCTTTAATTTCGGCAATGCATCAGGATGAGGTCACGGGTGTTGTCAAAGCAGAAAAGGGGATTCTGAGACTCGGAGAGCACCTGTACTTAAAACACGGGCATGATAAGACAAAGCATGATTACATTAGGCAGAAAATGAGAGAAGTCGGTAGGTTAATTAACGAAGCAAAAACCGCAGGGAAACTGAAAACAATTAAGGATTTCTTTATTCCTTCCAACTTTAACCAGGTGATTGATGCAGTCAGGTCTGTGGCTGGATATGATGAGGAAACAAATCAATACAAGACTCCATCCTTGGCCCTCAAACTCGGCCATAGCCTCAGAAAGCTAGCAGATATTCTTGAATGTGACTCAAAAATGGAGCATTGTGTTGATGAACTATTTATTAAAAACCTCCAACGAAGCCGGCTGCTTTTTGAGAAGAGGTGGGACGTCTGTGTTTCTTCTGCTGCCCTACAGACCCTCCGGCAAGCCAAGTGGAACACTCCGGACCTGCTCCCTCTGACTGAGGACGTTAGAGCCATGCATGCACATATTGAGGTATGTCGACCTGAATATGTGCAAACCCTAATAAGTGAGCCAACGTCTAAGCATTGGTCTAAACTGGCAGTTTTGACTCTTTGTGAGGTCATCATTTTCAATCGAAGAAGGGAAGGTGAGGTTTCAAAGATGCCACTGACAGCCTTTACCTTAAGAAGTAAGACTGGGATCCATTCTGACATTGCTCTGGGACTGTCCCAACTTGAGAAAAAGCTGTGTCAGCATTTTCAACGCATTGAAATTAAAGGGAAAAGAAGTCGGAAAGTGCCGGTTCTTTTGACTCCTGAAATGATTGCTTCGATGGAGGTGCTGGTGGAGAACAGAAGGGCCTGTTCCATCTCTGACCATAACCCATACTTCTTTTCCCGCCCGGGCGCAGACACCCACATCAGGGGATCAGACTCCCTACGCCAGGTAGCCAAAGAATGTGGTGCGGTGCATCCAGAGATGCTATCCTCAACCAAACTTAGAAAGCACATAGCTACTATGTCTACAGTTCTCAATATGAAAGAGAATGAGATGGACATACTTGCCAACTTCCTCGGCCATGACATTCGCATCCACAGGCAATATTACAGACTACCAGAGGGGACACTGGAGCTGGCCAAAATCAGCAAAGTGTTGATGGCCATGGAGCAGGGAAGAGTGACGGAATTCGAAGGAAAGAGCCTCGACCAGATACAAATTGAGCCTGAAGGTAATTCTTGATATTATTAAAATATGTATGATTTTTTTCCCCTAAAGGCCACTTGTATTTTTATTTTCTGTGCGACAGGGAGAGCAGTAGAGATCCTCTCACAAACGGACGGGCTAAAAGAAACTTCAAGCGGAGAACCTTCAACCATTCATCCAGATGCACCCCATGGTAGTGGCAGTGCCCCTTCTGGTAAGTGTACCAGGTGGGGGATTACAGCCAGGCTGCTTGGTCCTAACCCTGGGAGTGTATATTGCTAATATATTTTTATTTCTCTCCCTAGAACGTGTAAGAAAGCCATGGTCTGCATCTGAGGTGAAGGCTGTGGAGAAGACCATGACACCTTTCATACAGACTGGAAAGGTCCCTGGGAAGTCTCACTGCCTGGCCTGCATTAATGCCTCACCAGATGACCTTAGACATCGGACATGGAGTGGCATTAAATTCTATGTCAAAAATAGAATCACTGCAATTCGAAAACAAAATCTAAAATAAAATTCCTTTAAAATAGTTGTTTGGTTTCTATTGACTGTTTTGTATTACTTAAAGTAGTCCCAGTAAAAAAAGATTATGTCTATGGGTCCCATTCTGAACGGCCCTGTCAAAGGGACCCACCAGGTAACAAAAACGTGTATGTGTGTGTGTGTGTGTGTGTGTGGTTAGTGGTGGTCAGAGGGGGCAATGTTGTTTCTGTCTCAAGGGCAGCTGTGGCTACAGTAATAGTTTTTCAACCCTGTGTATGGAGTAAAGGAGCAATGACATGTGAAGCTTCTTTGAGTGTCCTGAAGAGTGCCAATATATTATTATAATCAACTTTTGGCCTTATCACAGTGAATGATATTCTGTTATTTGTTATTTACCCACTCAAAGTAGATTTTTAGTGATTCATGCATTGGGGTCATTGATATTGATATTTACTATGCAGCCACAGAGCCATTCCCACTGTTTTTAGTTAATTTGTTTTTCATCTTGTACAATGAATTTTTGTCATAGGTGGAAAAAAAATGATATCCGTTCATTGCAACTTGATCTGCGGTGGGCCATAACGTTTTGGCCGAAATGCAAAACTAACTTTTCTTATCAACCTCAGTGCACCATCCCCAGTGTCAAATATAGAGTCTGGTTTTCTCTAGATAGGAGAGAAAATATTGTGAATATTGATAGTATATTGGATGGAGCTAAATACAGTGCAAAATTGGAAGCAAAACACTTGGAGGAGATTTTCCTTCCAGCAGGTCAGCGCTGCAATGGAACGAGTTAAAACAAAACAATTATTAGTCAACATCCAAACGAAAATCCATTGAAAATCTGTGGAAAAATCTAAAGGCTGCTGTTCACAAACACAATATCTTTTCTGAAAGAGGTTGAGTTGATTTGTAAAGTTGAAAGGGCAAAGGTTTCAGTCTCTAGATGTGCAAAGCTTGTAGAGTCATTGCTACAAAAGGGTGTTCCACAAAGTCTCCAAGTACATTTTTATTTTATACTTAAAATAAAAACGGCTGTGTATATGTGAAACCTGTAGTGTACACTGCAACAAAATACATAATATGAGGTATCAATCGCTGGAAGAATGGCTGAATTTCATTTATTTATTTATTTTTTATTAAGTGATACAATGACATACTGTACAAAAGTGAGAATGATTGGTACAACAGCAAAAAAAACATTGAAGCAGTGACAAAACATGGGGACATATGGAAATACTAATATTGAGACGACATGAAACAATACTATATGGGAGGGTGTGTGTGTGTGTGTGTGTGTGTGTCAAAAACAAAACATGGGGACATACAAAGAAATGTAAATATTGAAACATTACCATATGTGTGTGTGTGTGTGTGTGTGTGCTGCATTTCAAATTCATGCTGCTAAAATCTGGAACAATCTTCCCGACAGTGAAAGACAATTGACATTAAAACATCTCGACAAAGTTTAAAACCAGATTAAAAACGGTTATGTTTAGCCGTCCATACAACTGAGGGATTTTAGATTTGTATCTTTCTTTTGAATCTGCTTTGATTAATTATGTAAACGCGTAATGCTATCGTTTGTTGTTCAGCACTTTGAGCTGCCTTGTGTATGAATTGTGCTATACAAATAAACTTGCCTTGCTTTGGAATCAAGTAGTTTAGTCTCACAAGAACTGTTGCTTCGTTTTCTCACACCACGGGAGACATTTCTTGCACTTTTTAACAACAAGATAATTTTGGTTTTCCCATTGGCATATTTTGGTTTTACTTCAGTCAAAATGTGTTCAATTTAAGATGCATCTTGCAAAATTTGAGCAATTTTGACTAATATTTTATCAGTTTTTGCATTCTGGTTCTTGACACCGCTTGACTCTTCCCAAGTGCATGCCGCAGTTTCGCTGGTTCTAAAAATAGCCGTGGATTTTAGTGTCCTAATTTCCCCCCGACCTTCCCTTGCAGGTGCGACCAGGGGGACGTGGTGACGCACACGGCCTGGCTCAACCGCTCCAGCATTCTGTACGCGGGGGAGGACAAGTGGTCAGTGGACCCCAGAGTCAGCCTGGTCACCCTCAACCAGGAGGAGTTCACCATCAAGATCGAGAACGTGGACATGACGGACGAAGGGCAGTACGTGTGCGCGGTGCAGACCAGTCGAAGGCCCAGGACCACGTCTGTAGGCATACTGGTGCAAGGTAAGATCATTCATACACATACAGACATTGTGCGTCACGGCGGCGCAGTGGTTAGAGCGTGTGGTGGTCCTGGGTTCGATTCCAAACCCAAGCCTTTCTGTGTGGAGTTGCATGTTGTCCCCGTGTCTGTGTAGGTTTCCTCCGTGTGCTCCGGTTTCCCCTACCTCTAAAAACTCGTACAATTCAAAAAGCCCTCAACCTGGGGCTTTGATGCGCTAGTGTGTTTGCTGTCTTGCTTTCGTCATCACTTTATGTACAAGAATAGCACTGCATCCTGTACATAAAGATTACATTACTTACTTACAAATAATGTAAAATCATGGACTGTATTTACTGTAGATGGACGATGCTAACCTGCTAGTTCCACGAAGACCAATCGACTATGTTTTATTCTCTGGCTCCTATTTCCGTAGGCTCAGCTCCATGCACTAAGATACTCGCAAATTCAATGTAGTTATACGTTTAAATAAACGTCTAAAACAAACTTTTATTTGTTTCTTCTTAGTCTGTAATTATGGTGAGCATCTATCATGGATTAAGTTTCATAAAATATAATAATATTTGAGAAAGTACAGTCAAACAGTGTGGGTTTGGAAGGCACCATTTACATAGATGTGATTTAAAGTGGGAAAATGGTCAGTCAGTGAAAAGATACATTGTCTGAAATATAATGAAGAAGACAGATGGCCAAGGAACAATGTAAGCCGTCAAATATATAAATAGGGGATGAGTTTGCTGTTAAATAACTTTTGTGCATTATGGTCAATCTCCTCAGTGGGATACATGGTCACATAGTCTGCTGCCCACCATCTGAAAGGGTAATACAATCCAGACAATTCAACCAAATCTGTTCTGGGTGAAATAGAAAATGGCCATTGATAGAAGCATTAAAATAAACGATAATAAAAATATGAAAGAAGACAGTTCAATATATTGGCCAAGTGAACAATGTTTATAGTGCAATATTATGTGTGATCAATAGTGTTAAATCACAACTATCATCAAAAGAACAGCGATTCATCAACAACAGATCAGAGAATCAAACGGTTTTGAACACATGAAGTACAATAATAAGAAACATGTAGGAGCTGTTGGTCCAATAGGGAACGGGACGACCAATGTCCAAAGATGATAATACAAATATACAACAGATCTGCAAAGGGAATGAGGTCAGGAATAGAACCAAGTAGATTTATTTATTACAGTGGGTTTAAGTGAACAGCTTCATGTCAGGATGTGCCATCTCTCTTGAGGGTCTGCCTTTGACATGATATTGTGTTCATTATAAATGAATAATAAATGAAATTAGTAAAACGATTTGTCAATTTCCATCATAATTACACGAGCGCTGTTCCTGAGAATGCACTCAAAGGAACCATTCACCCACATGTGTTAACAAACACAAAGTGTTTGTGTGTTTACAGTATGTATGTGAGTATGTGTGTGTGTTTACAGAGTGTATGTAATTGTTTTTATGTGTGTGTTTACAGTATACATGTAAGTGTGTGTGCATGTGTGTGTTTACTGTATATATGTAAGTGTGTGTGCATGTGTGTGTTTACTGTATATATGTAAGTGTGTGTGCATGTGTGTGTTTGCAGTATATATGTAAGTGTGTGTGCATGTGTGTGTTTGCAGTATATATGTAAGTGTTTGTGCATGTGTGTGTTTACAGTATATATGTAAGTGTGTGTGCATGTGTGTGTTTACAGTATACTGTATATGTAACTGTTTGTGTGCATGTGTGTGTTTGCAGTATACATGTAAGTGTGTGTGCATGTGTGTGTTTACAGTAAATATGTAAGTGTGTGTGCATGTGTGTGTTTACAGTATACTGTATATGTAACTGTGTGTGTGCATGTGTGTGTTTGCAGTATACATGTAAGTGTGTGTGTATGCATGTTTTTACAGTACTGTGTGTGTGTGTGTAATGTGCGTCTGCAGTGATGGATGCTGTTGTTCCTGGGCGCAGCACACGAGGGCATACGTGAACAAAGCTGAGCATGTGTCTGTTCTGGCGCTGACTCTCACTTCCTCATTCAGTGCTCCACTGGAGCAATTAGAGCTAAGTGCCTTGCTCAAGGAGCGGAGGAAGGGAGGGGTGTTGCTCTTCCACTCCGTTAGCTGGGGTTAATGGGCAGCAGCAGATGTTGAATCCTGATGTGAGCGAGGGGAGGGGGGTGTATGTGTGAAGCCTAATGACACAGAAAACACGCTCGCTTTATATGCACACAGTGTGAAGGGAGGGCACCAGGGACGATACCTGCTCTGCACCGCAATCTGAGACACAAGCCATTATCATCTCCAACATAACATCACACAAGGCCATAGCATTTACTTACCATCATTATCACCATTCAAATGTATACGTATTCTCTTATTTACATACATTCCTTTGGAGTAATAATTGAGAGACCTTCTGCCGGGAAATTGCCGTGATGATGAAAAGTATGTTGTTGATGAAAGTGTACGTAACGCTAACAAATTGAAAGACAAAGGCACTCAAAAAAGATGTTTGTATCAGGCTTTCACATATAGACCTGTGTCATCCGGCTTCCCATGGAGCAATGGCACTTATGTGTTCTGGATTGTTGCTTTTATTGTGTTCTAAATGTGGATGGTTGACCCTGTTAAGTTTTAAGCCGGTAGATAGACGTCACATGCCACTGGTGGGAGATGTTTGGTCAGCTGGTATGTGGTAACATTCAAACACACAATTCATACATACAATTGGCAATTTACATATGATACACGAAGCAGTAGCAAACTTGAAGTATGGGAAATGACAGAAATCTATAGTTTCCCATTAAGACCTGGAAATGTCGTCGCTGTTTGTTTGTACAGAAGCTATCACATGTATTGTATCCTTTGTACAGTAGCTATCTCATCAGATTGCAGCATATTAAAGGAACAATGATCAAAGTTCTGCAATAGGCGTGCACATGACACATTTACTGCTCTGTCGCTTACCTTTTCATTCCCATATATACATTACACGATTGGTAACACGTGTTTGAACAGCTCTGCTCGCCTCATCACATGCAGCAGCTGCCACATGATGCGGTTTCACATTCATTACACACCTAGTTAGAAACAGACAGCACACTTTTATTTGGCACGATATAACGCATTAAAGGAAAGGAAAAAACTACAGCATGCACTTCTTGTCGTGTGGTGACGTTCGCTGTTGAGCAAGTCGCTTAAAAACGTTTCTCTTCACCCTAAACATGTGTTTGCTTTTACTTACAGTGTCAGTCCCCAAAAATCATGCATTTCGTGTTTTAGGAAGTTAATGAAAACAGCGCGCTGTAAGGAACTGGGCTGACATCCTTGCATTCTGACAAGTTACTGTGAGTTCTGACTATGGAAATGAAAATACACTATAAAATACTATAGCGACTTTGCATGTGTCAAAAACTGCTTTAGAGTCTGGTTCCCAAAACCCACACCACTTTCTTCAAGTTGTCCTATTGGAGGGGCCGCACAACAGAAATTTATGATGATAGAACAGTGGTTGGAATGGGGATAATAGGCCACAATATACTTAAATTATCAATAAGCCTCAACTTTGTCCCATTCCTTTGTCCTACAGCAATGCGGCCAATGTATGTATCTTCACTGTGGCAGAGTATCCCCGGGGCACAGGAAAGAATTTGGACACAGCTTTATCAGGTTAAAAGTTTAGTTGCACAAAATACAAGTTGTTTGTATGTGATTAGGGTGGTTGTCAGAACAGAGTTTATGGACTTATTTTGACTACATCAACCAATCAATCAATATTTATTTATTGGGAGCTAACACAAAGCGCATAAACAGTCCGCATCACACAAGGCACAAATCATCACATAAAATCACCATTAAAAACACAAATACAGTCACACCGGTAATTAAAAACAGTTGTGGGTGTAGCAGCTCCGTCCAGGTGTAGTAGCTATAGGACACATATAGGAGTTCATTAAGTTATTTACAAAGCTTTGATCATAACAAGACGACAGTATTGATCCTGTCTAAGTCCCGGATCAAGCCTGTCTGTCTGAGCGAGCGGATCCCTTTTCAATATGAGCCTCCTCGAGGTTTCTCAATGTTTTTCTCACTGGGTTGTTCTTCCTTTACAATGCAGGATGGTCTAAGGACAGTGATAATCCATGACATTTAAGAACATTTATTAACATGTATGGACATTGGTCATCCTCTCCCGTATGACTCCTACAGTATGTGTTTGTTATTAATGCAACTCCTGTGTTCAAACCGTTTGATTCCCTTATCTATTGTTGGCGATTTGACAACATTGTAAATTCCTCCGGGGCGACAGCTGTTGGGATTTAGTGCTATACAAAAATATATTGAAATGACATGACATGACATTGACTGATGTAAGACAGATGTAAACATACTGCTGCTACTGTACAGATGTAAACATACTGCTGCTACTGTACAGATGTAAACATACTGCTGCTACTGTACAGATGTAAACATACTGCTGCTACTGTACAGATGTAAACATACTGCTGCTACTGTACAGATGTAAACATACTGCTGCTAACATGTACAAATGTAAACATACTGCTGCTACTGTACAGATGTAAACATACTGCTGCTACTGTACAGATGTAAACATACTGCTGCTAACATGTACAGATGTAAACATACTGCTGCTAACATGTACAGATGTAAACATACTGCTGCTAACATGTACAGATGTAAACATACTGCTGCTAATGTACAGATGTAAACATACTGCTGCTACTGTACAGATGTAAACATACTGCTGCTAACATGTACAGATGTAAACATACTGCTGCTAATGTACAGATGTAAACATACTGCTGCTAATGTACAGATGTAAACATACTGCTGCTAACATGTACAGATGTAAACATACTGCTGCTAATGTACAGATGTAAACATACTGCTGCTAATGTACGGATGTAAACATACTGCTGCTAATGTACGGATGTAAACATACTGCTGCTAATGTACAGATGTAAAAATACTGCTGC